TGTTGGGGCTGGATTAAAGAACCTCAACCAGCAGATTTAGTGGAAAGGAGTGTGAAAATGATGGATTCTGACCCGGAGGGGTCATTTCCACCCCCACATGGGAGCAGCTGCACTGGAAACCTGCACCATTGTTTTACCTGCAGCAGAAATGGGGTGACTTTGAACCTATTCTTTTGCCAGAGCAAGTTGGTAGTACCACCAGGGCTCTAGCCAGCACCCCTTTTTCCGTCAATTGCAGGAACGTTGTGGCGTGTAACGGAAAAATTTTAAAACCAACACATCAACCTCGAGGGATAAGATTTACAAAAATCTTGTGTAAAAATATAGGTACATGTACATCCAAAGGACCACCAACAACCACTCTCAACCACATGAATTCCCCCTCAAAATGTGGAAAATTGCCTTTATAGAGGCTGTTTGCAATACACTTTACCAAATTCTGAATTCAAAAACAACATGTATAACAGTGACCCAGGTGGCAATAGACAGAAAATTGCCCAAAACGGAAGCAGCCTACTGCTTTCCATAACTGCAGATAACAAAAAATTCTCCAATCTGATTTTATAATCCATGAGAAAACCAAACTGAAAGGCAAATGGACTTGCACTTGTAAAAGTTAACAACATTCTTCCTACTTTACATGTGACTAATTGAAGTACAAGGTACCACCTGTACAGCTTAACACTGTACCAGAGCTAACACTCAAGATCCAATTAAAATATGGACAAGGATTTGGACTTTCTCCAAGGTACTGAAATGATGGTTGTGATTATATCTTGGAAAACTGGTTGCCAGAAAGACAGTAATGTGAATTTTATGTCTTTTCTGTAGTTACAAACCCAAAGTTCAAGCCCTAGCCTGTGAAGACATGTACAGTGTACATGTATGTACATCAATTGCATACATGTGTACTGTATATGATATCTATTTCCAGAATGCTCCTCTTGAATATTCAAAATGTCCTCTTTTCCTGTCTTGTATTAAAAATCTGTGCAAACCCACACACATGAGAATGAAGGTATGCTATAATAGTGAGAAATGTTTTACAGTGCAAATGACAGCAGTATGCATTTTATATTATCTCTCCCACAGACAGAACAGTCTGAACCAAATTGAACAATCCTCATAACTGCATTTCAAGGGACTTGCAGAAGGGAATGTCATATGCAGTAAATAGGCGTGAACAAGAAGACAAATCACGCAATTTGCCCTTCCAAGATGTTGGCAAAATTCTGCCCTAATCTTAGCACAGGCTTTATGTCAATTTGCAAATATACCACAGCTAGGTATATAATCAGTGTTCATCAAAATTATGCTGTCAAGACAATGTCAATACGCAAACATCAGGTTTCTTTTTTCTCCGCGACTGATGTATTATTCAGCGCCGAGTGTGTACATAACGTAACCGGTAGTCTCCGGGGAGGCAGCCAGATGTCAGAGGTAGGAAACCCAGTCTGGCGTAACGCTGAGCAGGTACCGCTCGCTCCCGCGCCCGACATCCGACGCTGACGCCTGATTGGCAGGGGGAGAAATCACTCAGCGGAAAAGGGGCAAAAACTTAACCCTCGGCAGTGCACTCTAGGGAATCAACAGGTGGAACTCCTGCATTATGGAGGGGGCGTGATTGGCAGTTTCCTGTGACTCGCAGAGTGACGACAGAGGTGGGCGAAACTCGCAACAGTCTCTCCACTGGAAAACACGGCTGGTTTCAATCTTGATGTTTCTGACTCAGAGAGAAGAGTTGCTGTTACAGTTCTACTCAGTAGCCCGTAACCCAGGTGAGTGGTCATACCATTCAGGTGGTACCACCATTCACCTTGAAGTGGCCTAACGGTGCCAGACTCTAAAACTTACTAAGACTGTGTCAGTCTCTAAAACTTACTAAGACTTCACTCTCTTACTCCGCAGGTAGAGCCTTTATGCATACTGCAGTACACATCTGGAACAGTCTCCCAGACAACATGGTCAGCCTGGACAACAACCTCCAGTCATTGGAAACAAGAGTACACCGGCATCTTCTTTCCACCATTAGGACTTCTACTTGTAGCTAGAACCTTGGAGTTGCTGTAAACCAATGATTACCCAGGAGTGTTACAACCAAGGCTATTGTTTACATTAGCACAGTCATTAAAAAACTGAACGATGTAGAAAGCCTACTGTGTGACGAGAGGAAGGAGAAAGTAGCTCAATCTCATAACTTCTGTCTTTTCTAGTTTACTTCCTCTCACAGGTTTCTATATATAATTATACAGATATGGCAATCATTGATAATCATAGACAGCAATACGACGATGAAGGTTAGAAATCCAGGTAATGAGATACACAAGGAAATCGTTGGATTTCAACTGGATAAACAGCAATCAACTGGATAATCTGGAAAACTGTTAGATGTTTCAAGTAACATCTACTAGTTTTCGTCATTGACTAACAGAATCTTATTTATGCATACCGGTTTAACAACAGATTCCGTTAGGCACTGACAAAAAGTAGAGGATGCTACTTGATGCTATGTATGGCAGTTTGAAAAATCTATCCAGTTGCTTGAGTGACAATTTCCTCGTGTAGAGATTGCAATGTGAAGGCTTTGGGACTCATCTAGTGTTTCACGCCCCATATCAAATTATATTCTTGAAGGTGAGGATATCCTTGGTATATAGCCAAGCCTGTTCTAATAGTCAATTATTTTAAACCAGAGATTTCACATAACTGTCATTTTTTTGTTCTAATAGCACTAGACAAAGCTATGAAACTGCAGGAAGAAAGAAAAAGAAACAGCAAGAATCTGTTCTTCTCTTGTTACACTATTTTAACAACAGTACTACTGTCTGCGATCTAAAGCCCTCTGTTTTTTTTACCAACAATTCAGCAACTATAGATACATGTCTAGTAAGCAATATCACTTAAGAAATTGCAGGAAAAAAAACAAAAGGAATTATAGCAAAGATGTGCTGTCCCAAATTCTGATGATACCAAAAAGAACATCGGATTGGGACTTTTTGGTACATATCTGAGCAATATATTCAAAGAAACTGCAGGAAGAAATAAAAACGAATGCCATATATCTATCTTCTCTTGTTGAAGTGTCTGACAACATCAGTACTGTCAGGGAACTGGCAACACCCAGCGTTTCATGACCAACTCTTATCAGTCAAACTACCCCCAAAACTCTGATAACAAGAACATCAGCTTGGGGCTTTCAGATACATGTCTGAGCTGAGTGATACCACTAAAGAGATGATCTACACTTCAACAAACTCGGAAGATAACACCATTACTACCGTCTTGGAAGGGTTTGAAAATCCTCCTGGTAGTTTTTCACTCCATTACACAAGCTCCAGGGCCAAAGGCTTAGCTCCCGAACAGAGGACAGCTACACCTCTCAAATCATGAGCATGACAGAGCGCAGGCAAAAGGAGTCTATGTTCCTGAATAGGGGGCAAAAATCCAATTAATCCGGGCTGTTAAATCATGGTGGAGATAAAAGGGTGGGATTTGTCACCAGAGGATCCCCTTCACACCTGGCCATTGGTAACCTGTAAAACGATGTCGATTGCGGCCGTAAGTGGCTGTCCGGCCGCCCGAGGAGTCCATCTTCTGGACACAAATGGTGCGTTAATACAATTAAGGACTGCCACATGCGCACTTGCTGAAAATTGATTCTTAGTATACTGCTGTGACGGGATGGTGGGAGGAGGACATAAACATAACTCAGCATCGTGCAAAGTCTGTGCCGATAAATACTGGGCCAACTCAAGTCAGCTGGATGCTCTGTACCCTTGAAGGAAACATCATTCTGTGCTTCCAAAATCCAGAATCAGTAACTGTCATACATGTATATACGTCAAGCTTTCATCTGGTTTTAAGACTGCCTGAAGGATTTTTATATCCTGCATATTGCTTGGGCTTTAGCACAATCATTCTTTAGTTATTCATGTATGTCCAGCAGTGTTAAAATAGTGTTCTGAGGGGTTTGAAGGCAACCCAAGAATATTAGTAAGACATAGTGGAATTACTGTTCATAATCATATTCATCTGGTCCTTGAAGTTTTTATGTCTTAAAATGACATACATTAGACAATATCCTGAGTGGATGAAAATCGTAATCCCTTCAGTTGATCATATAAAAATAATACTCATATAGAAATTGTACATAGAAATACAGGAATCATCAAATCAATGGTATCAAAGCTCAAAACGACTCAAACTACTTACCCTACAGATCAAACTACATGTGGAAAGTAACAATTATAGTAGAATAAACTGAACCCCGATATTTAAAAATCTGATGATAAAGTACAAGTATGATAAAATGAATTCAAGACTGATGTTGGTATATTGCCAATATCATATTTTTCACATGCTGTAAAACATAAAAAAGATTGGCACAATACAATAAAAAGGGTGTTAGGAAATGGGTTGTTATAAAAATTAATTCTTCACCAACTGGCCATTAGTCCTTCAAGAAAAGACATTCAATGTGTTGCAAAAAACAATCATTACAGTCATTATTTGGACAGGAATCATTGTCAAAATATTCACAAATGGAAAAAGCAGAATTAATACAAAGAAACCCAAGTACCTCATGCTCCATATCTTGCTGGAAAAAAAGTTATTACTTATACATACAAAAATCATAATATATCACACTCACGGAGCATTCAACTGTTGTGAATTACAATATCATTAAAGTTCAAATATAACATCATGAAATTCAGTTTCAGAAAAAAATTAACTGTTATACAAAATATAGCAGTTCATTCAAGTTTAGGGAAAGTACATGTAGTTATTGAAAAAAAAAAATACAAGTAAGCAGATGTCAGTCTTCAACGCATCAGGAAAAGCAAAGCAGCTGGAAGAAATATCCAGAATCTTAAGCCTATAAATAATGATTTATACTAATAATGTAAACCTCAACCCCCTTCCTTACTGTGTATAGAATAATGACAATGTAAAGAGTAATTGTTGAAGGAGAGAACAGAGCATATTCCAGGGAATGTTACCTCAGGAATTGGCTGGAAGATGGAGGCTTGTTCCACGTCATACTGTCCTTCTTCGTACTGGTCAAAACTGTTCCCACCCTGCAGAAACGATACAAGCAAATAGGGTCAGCATTTCGTAGACACATGTACAAATACTGTAGCCTCTACCAGGCTCCGCGGATCGCTGGAAAAATAGTAGAAATTGGCCGAAATAAAGGGATAGTACACCAGAGAAGATCCAGCCGGCCATAGAAGCTCCAATTTGCGACGTGGTTTTCAAGCGATCCGCGGAGCCTGGTAGAGGCTACAAATACTGTATTATACACTTAATGTTTGCAGTAGCTAAAGTTTGCAGTCTGAGTTAAATGGACATGTCAGACAATCTTTTTTGTTCACGGTAATGATAAGTTCGCAGCACAGAAGTGACCACGAAAACCAACTAAAAAGTACCCCCTAAAAACATGAATTACAGAATGTTGTATTCGTGAAGCATAGAACCAGTAGGTTCAAAATGTGAAACATACAGTGTCTCACATACATGTACATGTATATTGTGCACATTTTGCAGTCAAACATACACAATGGAAAAAGAATCTCAAAGACCTATATTCATATACACATGTGTGATACTAGCAATGCAGCAACTTACATGTAACATCTGTGTCCATAATATCACCAGGGTCCATAATATTGCCACCTTGAGAAACAGTGTGCTTAAAGATATTTGTACTGCAACATACTTTTGGTATGCACTCCTTCACACATCAAATGTACATACCTAGGGTATGTTGCAGTAAAAATATCTTTAAGCACACTATTTCTCAAGGTGGCAATATTATGGACCCTGGTGATATTATGGACACAGATGTTATACATGGCTGCATGATTTAGAAATTTAAGTGTTTGAAATGCATTGGACATTAATATTGTCCTTTATATGCAAGCAAAAGTTTATACCTAACCATTATGACTTATGAAAATCTTGAAATTTGTAACTAGAAAGTCAATTGAATTATGTTACATAGCTAAACATATCCAATAAAAAAGCATACTTTATATTTAACTTACTTCCCTACCGACGTGTAATGTGGTTTTCATCATCTCGATGCTAAATTTAGTTAAACCCCAAAGGAATGTAACTCGCAAAGGAACAATCTACACGCAAGACTCGCAACTTCTCCATGCTAAATTTGAAAATTAGTTTTCTCGTGGACTCGCACCCAGTGTCATGAACCCAACGTTCTAGTACATCTAGTGGGCATTTTCTCTCCCGGAGGCAATCTGCACGCAGTAAAATTGACTCCACCGAGGGATTACATCGCGGATCACATGTTCTGTACCGACCTACACTTAGTGTTCATTATTCCTCCAGGCTCCGTACACACGTACTCACACACAGACTACGTCCGCCTTGTTACAAGAGAAATTTTAGGCCTTTCTCTTTTATTTCTCCCTCACAACTCTTAGAATTTTAATACAGAAGGAAGCTATGGGGGAATACAAAGCAGAAAACTGCAAGAAGTCTTTGGAGATACATGTAGTATGAAAGTTGAGTGATGTTAGACAAAGTTGGTGGTGCATGGTTGGAATGGACATGACATGGTTATTAACGTTTCTAACCTTTGCACACTACCACTGATGACATTGCCATACCAGGTACTACAGGTTATAGTCAGGGCCTTAGCCAGTTCAAATTTATTTCACAATTGCACAACACCAGAGCTGGTGTGTTACGGCGAAGGGCCGTTATACCGGCTATACCGATACAGAAATACACAACAACACATTTATTTCATCCAATGAAAAATAATTATGACGTTGAACATTATTAAACGATTTCAACAAAATTTCAATCTAGCAGAGCAGCTGCTGACTATTATCTTTCATTAACACAAAGTCCATGTCAGCAGTTCCAGGGTAATAAACTGGCCAGTACAACTGCTACAATTGACACCACCAGAATGGCCTGACTGCAAAACTGACAACGACCTTTGTATGAAGGTCAGGTCAAGGTCGGGTCATGGCAGCAGCAAAGCCTGCGGAGGATTTCCATCCACACTGCACGTTTGAAGTTATGCTAATAAACTTTGTTACCATGTAATGTGTTACAAATGTATAGAAAACTCAGTTGTAGTGGTGATATGACTTTACAGGTTGTTTAAAATACGTCAGAAAATGGGTCAGAAAAAAATTTTTTATTTATTTCATTCACAAAATATTTTTTTCATTCAGAAAATAAACATACTAAAAGCTTAAACATAAAGTGAAACTATCCAAACCAAACAAATAAAATAACAGCAACTTCAGGAGAAATTTATATCATTGTCTCAGATGTCTTCTTGAATAAAATTGCATGTACAATGTACATGTACATGCCTAAATAACATTCCTCAAGAGATAAGTCCTTAACATCAAAACCACTAACCCTGTTGTACTTAATGTTATCAGAATCTACAGGACTATTTCTTGCCCAGCAGTTTTTACTGCTGAAGTCTTTCCGCAAGGAAATTTTGCTGACTCCGGCAGACTTGGTCCTTTGGAGGAGATTATACGATCATGCGGACAGCAATAACGGCATATCGGTTTGGGGGAATATGGCCATCATCCTTTCTGCTTCTAAGCAAAGGATCCATGGTGACTAACTCTTTGATCCTTCCCCCTCCGCCAATGACACGTCGGCTAATAAAATCCGTGCGTCGTAGGATTAACCGCCCGTGTGCGTTTCATGCGGAATGATCGCGCTCCCTGCAGGGGACGTAAAAGGTTGATCCTGGCTCCGCAGTTCTGCGGCGGCGGGAGTTTTTACGAGAGACCTGCAACCGAGGTCTTCATGAAGAGCAGTCTGCATAACAACTTGTACATTTAAATAAAAAGTTACTTCACGTTCCCTTCTGGTGCAGATTGCCATTAAAACTTGGCACTCTGCCTGTAGTCTGTCTGTGATTCATGTTCCGTTTCTTATGGTTACAGAATTAAAATTTAAAAATACGCAGGTTTCATGAGAAGCACAGTCTAATAAATGATATCAGTAGCTGGGACATCTAAATAAAAACTTAACTTCACGTTCCCTTCTGGTGGAAGTTAATTGCCATTAAAACTTGGCGCTCTGCCTGTAGAGATCGTGAGGTTTCTGCTGATACAATCTGTGATTCATGTTCAGTTTCTTATGCTTACAGAATTAAAATGTAAAAATATGCAGGTTTCATGAGAAGCACAGTCTAATAAATGATATCAGTAGCTGGAACATCTAAATAAAAAGTTACTTCACGTTCCCTTCTGGTAGAAATTGCCATTAAAACTTGGCACTCTGCCTGTAGAGATTGTGAGGTTTCTGCCAATACAATCTGTGATTCATGCCACTACCAAAAATGCCAATCTTGTTTTTCTTCAGAGAAGAAAACTTTTCTTCCACTGAGAAAATTATTCTTCACCCAAGAAAAAAATCTTGTCCATGAGACAAGAATTTCAAGAAACTGCATTTTAGCATATTTTTCTTGTGGTAAGATTTCTTTTCTTATGTATCTTGAACTAAATATCCTGAGAATATTATTCTTGCAGTAAGAATTTCTAAGTTTTCTAGAAAACCATTCTGTACACAAGAAAAGATTTCTTGAACTAAGATCTAACTCTTCTTGTAGCAAGAAAAATATTCTCCCCACAAGAAAAGATTTCTTGAACTAAGAGCTAACTGTTCTTGTAGCAAGAAAACCATTCTGCCCACAAGAAGAGATTTCTTGAACTAAGATCTAACTCTTCTTATGGCAAGAAAACCATTCTGTACACAAGAAAATATTTCTTGAACTAAGAGCTAACTGTTCTTGTAGCAAGAAAACCATTCTCCCCACAAGACAAAGTTTCTTGAACTATTATCTAACTCTTCTTGTGGCAAGAAAGCCATTCTCCACGCAAGGAAAGATTTCTTGAACTAAGATCTAACTGTTCTTGTAGTAAGAAACCATCCTCCCCACAAGAAAAGACTTCTTGAACTAACATCTAACTGTTCTTGTGGCAAGAAAACCATTCTGTACACAAGAAAAGATTTCTTGAACTATGAGCTAACTGTTCTTGTAGCAAGAAAACCATTCTGTACAGAAGAAAATATTTCTTGAACTAAGAGCTAACTGTTCTTGTAGCAAGAAAACCATTCTGTACACAAGAAAGGATTCTTGAAATAAGAGCTGACTCTGTTCTTGTAGCAAGAAAACCATTCTGCCCACAAGAAAAGAAATGTATATAGTGCTACCTAAATATAAAACAGACAATAATGTATAGCAACTAAATGTTATTTTGAAAAGCATTTGGACAGTATAGAGATGTTTATTATCACATTGATTTTTGTACAATGTATCTAATTAAAAATATAAAATCAGTCCATCAACATTCTTGGAATGGAAACAGTTTCACAGTAACTTTCAAAATATTATACGATGTAACTAACAAGCCATTATGATTTCAGAATACAGATCGTATCACATTCTAATCAGAAGCATATTCAGCAAAAACTGCAGTTTTCGCAAATAGAATTGACAAAGTCACACCCTTTGGACGCCTGAAAAACAACAGGAAAGACCTGTGTTAGTTTGCATGCGAGCACTGAAGGCAACAAGTCAAAAGAGGATGCTAAAATACTATTTTTATTACTTGGAGTAAACAATTTAAAATTATATCATAAAGCACTGTAATAAACTTTACTATACAATACACCAGAGATATATGATTTGACTTTGAAATCAACCCCAATGGCATTGTAACATTATTTGGGCTATGAAGTCTAAAAACAATGTCAACAGATCTTATAGGTGGGGAGGGGGGCGCACTTACCTTTAATCTGTTTGGTTTCATGCTTTTTCTGTTGCAAAGTTGGTTTCTTCAGCAAGCTGACCACGATCACCATTGCTTCACATGTACACAAGGTCCTTTTTGATTTGATTTTGACTTCAAATCTGACATGAGTCAGTAACTGACAAAAATAAGTAACCAGCGCGGCTCCCACATCTGACTTATGTTCAAAACCCCCTAACTGCATTCTGGGATTTGAATCAACCAATCAGGGGTTTAGAAAAGGTCACATGACAAGAAAAAACTAGAAAAAAGTTCTT